AAACTAGCCGAGACGACACTCGAAGTCGGACGGACACGTTTTTCTGCCAATCTGTGTGTGTCCCTTTTTGTCCAAATATATTTTTTACGACAACTGTCTTGTCCACGGTGTCTTTTGTTCGTTCCACTGGGGTTTAGCAAGTATGTTTATAAAGAAACGAAAATCTCTTTACTGTTACTAGTGTTAGTAACGGCTACGCTCGTGAAAGCAAAACAACAAACTCAAACGCGTCTTCGTTCAATGTTGTCAACTAATATCCGGATTAATTTTCGGCAAATTTTCCTCAATTCTCCGGACAGATTTTCATAAAATTTGAAAAACCCGGAATTCCGGGAAAATCCGCAGGACTTTCATCTCTGAATTATCCAGAAAATATATACACTTGCATAAGAACAACTGACATGACACAACTGTGGGGTAAGAGGCTATAATATACATCTGGTTTCTAAACCATTACTTGGGAGTTTCAGTGTCCGCTCCCACCCTCTGACAGAATGCGGCTTGGCTCTGTGAACTTAGCTGTAGCAATGTAGAACAAAGCAGGACCGGGCACCAAGGCCAACAGTGGCAAGTCCTGCTCCAGTTTGTCCAGGCGTGAGATCGAGATGATGCCATACGCGTGGAGCAACCAGTGACTGAACAGGATGACCAAGCGCTTCTTCTTGACAACCAGGTTCTTGAAGGACTGTTTGGAAAGTGGCAGAACACAAAGAGAGAAAAGAAACCAGCTAGCGTTAGCAACCCTGAACAACAACATGAATCTGAGAGGAAATGGCGGCGCACGAGGACGCAGCGGCCCGGATCTCTCTCCCTCGTCGTGGATTCAGTTTGTTTCTAATTATGTTTGTGTGGTCTTGTGCGAATGTGATCAAGTGTGTGAATGGCTTGTACACATATACCAGTGCAGAGTTAAACAACATTGGACTTGCGAATGAAATCGCGATAAATGCGCACTTCAGAGATACGTGGGATATACCCCCAGCGATAGCCAGACCACCGGGCTCTCCGTGGATTGTCGGGACTAGGAGGCGGCGTAGAGAGCGGAGACAAAAGCGGAGGTGCAGGGCGGGCCTGCTAGCCAGGCTAAGGAAGCAGCCGCTCAGACCAGCGCTGCCAAGCATCTTCCTGATAAATGCCAGATCTATCGTCAACAAAATTGCCAAGATGGAGCTGCTGTTGTCAGACAGTCGCTACACCTGGGACTGTAGAGTGTCTGTAATAACGGAAACATGGCTACATTCACTCATACCGGATGAGGCAATTCAGCTATCGCGTCGAACCACGCACTGCTTCGATTGAAACGACAGCTCCGGAAAGAAGCGAGGAGGGGGCCTTTGCGTCTTTGTTCATCAAGGCTGGTGTACAAACAGTAGAGTAATAAATACTTATTGTTCGCCCGATCTAGAGATGATGACGGTAATCTGTAGGCCATTCTATCTACCGAGAGAGCTAACTGTAGTGCTAATTACAGCTGTGTATATACCCCCCACTGCTAACGTAAACACAGCTCTTTCCAGACCTTCACGACACAATATATGGACAGCAGATGCAGTGCCCTGAGGGTGCCATTATTGTGGCTGGGGACTTTAATCAGGCTTGTTTAAAAACTGTTTTCCCAAAGTTTGCACAATATGTAAAGGACCCCACCAGGGGCAGTAACACACTGGACAGGATCTATTCCAACCTAAAGAGTGCATACAGGACAATACCCCTTCCTCATCTGGGGATGTCTGATCATATCTCACTATTCAGCGTGCCAGCGTATAGACCCATCAGAATAAGAACCAAACCAGTCAGGAAAGCTTTCAAAACCTGGCACGTAGATGCACTCAGCCAGCTCCAGGACTGTTTTGAAAATACGGACTGGACTATTTTTGATCACTTGGACTTAAATGAACGCACTGAGACTGTTTTATTTTACATTAAGACCTGCACTGACAATGTCACAGTGGATAAACAGATCAAAGTGTTCAAAAATGCAAAACCATGGATGACGGGGGAAGTGCGGACACTGCTCAGGGCCGGAGACCGGGAGCTGTATGCCGTGGCCAGGGCAAACCTGAAAAGAGGGATCAAACAAGCCAAAAGGAGCTATGAAGAAAAGGTAGAGAAACAACTGGCGGACAAAAATGCAAGGCAAGTGTGGCGGGGGGACAAACATAAATTACAAGGGCAGTCCACCAGAGGTAAGCGTAGATGCCTCGCTGGCGGAGGAATTAAACATCTTCTTCACCCGCTTTGACGCAGAGAGGTCTCACTCTGCCCCTCTGGCTACACATCAATCCAGCACGCAGTCGCTACAGCTGAAGGAGCATGAGGTGAGAGCAGTCCTGAAAGCCGTGAACCCGCATAAAGGCACAGGACCGGACGGAGTACAGGGGAAAGTGCTGAAGGCCTGTGCAGACCAACTGACAGGGATCCTAACACAGATCTTCAACTCCTCGCTGGCACAGGCCATCGTTCCGTCATGCCTGAAAGCAGCCACCATCATACCCGTCCCCAAGAAACATACCATCAGCAGCCTGAATGATTACAGACCAGTGGCACTGACCCCGGTGGTCATGAAATGTCTTGAGAGGCTAGTTCTTCGCCACCTAAAATCACGCCTCCCACAGAACTTTGACCAGCATCAGTTTGCCTACAGACAAAATAGATCAACAGCTGATGCCATGGGCTCCCCCCAGGGCTGTGTACTGAGCCCCTTCCTGTTTATGCTGTACACACGACTGTACCCCCATGCATGACTCAAATGTCATCGTGAAATTCGCCGATGACACTACATTGGTGGGTCTCATTTCCAATGGCGATGAGACGGCGTACAGGGAAGAGGTACAGAGACTCGTAGGCTGGTGTTTATCAAACAACTTGCAACTGAACACCAGCAAAACAAAGGAGATGGTGATGGACTGGAGGAGGAAGAGAGCAGACCCCTCCCCACTACAGATAGGCGGTGTCTGTGTGGAGAAGGTCTCGACGTTCAAGTTCCTGGGTGTGCATGTAGCGGATGACCTCAAATGGCACACCAACATGGGTGCTTTGGTCGGCAAAGTGCAACAGAGGCTGCACTTCTGAAGATTACTGAACAAATGCCAGACGGGGGCACACCTGCTCCACACATTCTACCGCTCCACGGTGGAGAGCGTATTGGCGTACGGCATCACAGCGTGGTATGCCGGCTGCACGGCCAAGGACAGAAATGCTCTGCAAGGAGTCATAAAGGCGCACAAAAATCGGCTGCCCCCTGCCATCCCTGGATGACATCGTGAACTCAAGGGGGCTACAAAGGGCAAAGAAAATCCTGACTGATCGATCCCACCCTGGCAGGTGCCTCTTCAACCTCCTGCCCTCGGCAGGAAATATAGAGTCATGAGAAGTCGGACTAACAGACACAGAAACACTTTCTATCCCTGGGCAGTCAGGCTGTTGGATCTCAATTTTTAAATCGTGTGCATCTGAATGTGTAGGCCTATGGGAGTGCAATTTTACTATATAGCTCATGATATCACCGACTGTATCTTCAATTAGGTCCGAAATAGTCCACATACTGTCATGTTAATGCATTATTCATATAATTTTGTAAGACAACTTTGACTGTATCTTAATTAAGAGATAAGAAATTAGTGCCGAATATTTTACATATTCTCATGTCAATGCCTGATTCATACAAATTCATATTTTTTGCAAGAACAATCTACTTTAACCCTTCCTTGAACAGTGTATAGTCACAATTTTTAAAAATCCATTCCATAACGTTGAATCTCAATTTTTAAACGTGCGTATGTGATTGTGTGTATGTCTAGGGGAGTGCAATGTATTTATATACTTTTTTGTATTTCACGATACACTTGGCGGTGGAGGCTCCTGCAAAATCTCGTTGTAACAAGTGTGCAATGACAATAAAGTATTCATTCATATTCATTCAGGTTAACTAGGCTGAAACAGAACATTGTTAAATTTCATATAATACAAAGTATATAAAACAGACCCTTAAATTAGTGTTGTAAATTAGCACTTCAGAAAGAACACTGTTCATCATTACAAAATAAAGTGCTGAAATAAACATCAATCGCTTCTAGTAGGCTACAGTGGACAAAGCAGCTATGACGACTTCATGCCTCGCACGCGGGGTGTTCTTCTCGAGTTTAGTTTAGCGAAGAGCTTTGCTATGGCTCGCTTTACTGCTAACGCTTTCGGTGCTAACGTTAGCTGTAGCTGCACTCGCGACTGGGTGCTTTGCATTGATGTAGGAGGCTAAACTTGAACTGCTTCGGTGGTAAGCAAAGTCCTTCCAAATTAGGCACAACACTCTACCTTCAATAGTGCCGTCAGGGCGTTTTTGGAATGCATATTTTCCATTCATTGGGCCGAGAACTCTCTCAAGCCCCTCCATTTTCACCTCTGCTCTCCTCACCTATATGTACAGTATGTACAGTGCACAGAGTACGAATATTCTTACCTGTATCTCAGAGGCAGACATGTACACGGCCAGAGTGACGAGAGAGAGGACGAGTATTATATAGGGAAACGCATAATCTGAAACAAACAAATGGCCATGTAAAATACCTAAACAGAGCATGATTTGAGTGATGGTCAAAATGATCTGAGGAACAACAGAGGAGCAGAAGAGCATACTCACAGAGCAATCCTCCCCCAACAGCCTGGAGCACAGTCAGGATTGGGAAAAAGTACAGAGCAGCATAGATGCTCTTAAATCGATCAGATTTGCCCAGACCACATGCTATCTTTTTAACCAACAGAGGGCGCAGTAGCATCATCAGCACCAAGCAGAAGGCATAGTAGATTAACACGATGGTATAGCTGAGAAAGAGAATTCAGAACAAACTCAATTAGACTTACATTTGACTCATTTCTGACTGATGTTTTTGTACATGTTCTTTGCAAATCCACTGACACTTTTTTGTCGGCAACCTTCACAAGTTCTCCACTGGTGCGCTAAAGGTGCTTATTTGTCATAAAATGAGTACAGTGGTATCTCTACTTACGAACGTCTCTTCATATAAATTTTTCAAGTTACGAAACGCCTCCACAGGAAAATATTGTTTCTTGTTACGAAAGAAATTTCAAGATATGAAAGATAAAAATAAAGTATGGACCGCTACTCGCAGCTCCGAGTTTCCTGAACGCAACATACTGAGAGCTGCTCTGCCATTGGCTTTTACCGAGCCTCCACAGGAAAATATTGTTTCTTGTTACGAAAGAAATTTCAAGATATGAAAGGTAAAAATAAAGTATGGACCGCTACTCGCAGCTCCGAGTTTCCTGAACGCAACATACTGAGAGCTGCTCTGCCATTGGCTTTTACCGAGCATCATCCTGGCATCCCATTGGCTAAGAGGGACTTCGTCCGTAAGTGTCTGTGTGTATCAATAGATGATATACTGTATGTCTTTGCAGCGTCTCGTCATTCGCCCCTCCAGCCATGAGGCATTCTGATTGTTTTACGTAAATATGAATGACCCAGAAAGTGTTCACCAGTCGGGCGATCGCTCACTAGGCTGATGTTTGCCTTGGACATTTTCGAAGAATTGTTAAAAGCCGACAAAAGCAAACATCCTTAGATCAGTTCTTGACAAAACGGCAAGCAAAATCCACTTCTGAGAGAGGACATGGACTAAAGAGGGCAAAAAATGATGAGGCTGCAGTTAAAAGTTAAATGGCCATCATTTTTATTCTTTATTCTTTGTCTTTTACATTATACACAACTCTCATTTATTGTGTGATAATGTAATTGTAACATGCATTTGTTACATATTTTGAAGCATTTTTATAATTCAAACATTTGTGTCTGAATGGTGCGGGTCTTGGAATGGATTAGGGCATTTACATCTACTTACAAAATTTTCTCGTTAAAAATTTTCTTCTAGAACATATGAATTTTGTCAGTAGAGGTACCAGGTTATTTTTTCTTTATCTTCTCCGTTTTTAGAGGTAACATTGGAGTAGAAAGAACCGATCGATGTTCATCATGCTAATATCAACCTAGTCATCTGCCTGAAGAGCGAGTCGATCGTATTTAATTCTCCAACTATAGACACACAAACTCTTGTCGCTAGTTGCACATATTTTAACACAGTTGTACAAATATGTTAACATTATACAGTCAAACCTCGGTTTTTGAACGTCTCTGTTCTCGACCAAATCGGTTTTCGACCAAAAATTTCGAGTTTTTTATGCCTCGGATGACGAACGAATTTTGGTTCTCGAACAAACTGAGCGCACTTGAACGCGTCACTTGACTCCTCTCGCCTTCCTTACCTTCCTCGTGTAGCGTTCTATTGTGAACAGACGTGTTGAGTAAAGATTTTTTTTTTTTTTTTTTAAAGAGCGTGGTTTCGGTTTTCGAACAAATCCGTTTTCGAACAGCCTTCTGGAACGGATTATGGTCGAAACCCGAGGTATGACTCTCAAATTTGTCAAAGAGTAATGGGAGGTGCTCTTGTAAATGTGAGATGTTGGAACTTCTGGCTATCTTTTATCTTGCCAAGTAGCGATGCCCCAAAAATTCCCAAACAACTGGGGCCCTAGTGACCGTTTCCTGGGCACAGGTCACTGGGGCCCCACTCTGGAGCCAAGCCTGAAACTAGGGCTTGCTGGCGAGCGTCTGAAAAGGCAATGTGAGTCCCCTTTGCCATGGTCTCACCATCTGTGGGAGGGGCCAAGGGGTCAGGTGCCCTGTGAGCTGAATGGCGGCAAATGACTAGGGACCTTGGCGGTCTGATCCCCAGCTCGGGAAACTAGCTCTTGAGACATAGAATGTCATCTCGAGCTGGTGTGCGAAGTAGAGAGGTTCTGACTAGATACAGTCAGGCTCGTCGACACACAGCTTGGGCTCTCGTGCAATTCCTCTCGAGAGGGATTGGAGACTCTGAGAGAGGCGTCGAGCAGGTGCGGGCATAATTATTGGCCCCCAGTTTTGTGCCTGTATGTTGGGGTTCACCCCGGTGAACGAGAGGGTGTCCTCCCGCCACCTTCGGATGGGGAGACGGGTCCTAACCATTGTTTGTGCCAATGCACCAAACAGCAGCTCAGAATATCCACCCTTTTTTGATTCCTTGGAGGGAGAACGCTTCCCCTCAGGACCGCATCGTTCTGCTGGGTGTCTTCAATAAATACGTGAGCAATAACAGTGAGAAGGGCGTGATTGCGAGGGCTGGCCTCTCTGGTCTGAAACTTCTGTGTTTGTCACCAATTACCCACAAACATCATGTTCAAACATAAGGGTCTTTATATGTGCTGATCGGCTTTGTAGTTGTGTCATTAAATTTGCGGACTAGGGTGGGCTCTCATCTCTCTGCGGTTGACGTCACAGAGGTGGTTTAAAAGCTCCTCAGTCCAGGGGGTGGATGAGATCGCCCAAAGTTGCAAAAGGCTCTGGATGTTGTCGGGCTGTCCTGGTTGACACGCCACTACAACATCACATGGAACGTGTTACTGGATTGGCAGACCCCTCTTTTCAAGACAGGGGAACGGAGGGTGTGTTCCAATTATAGAGGCATCACATAACTCAACTTCCTGGTATGATCTATTCAGGGGTGCTGGAGAGGAGAGCCTGTCGCGAGGTCAAATCTCTGATTTGGAAGAAGAAATTTGTTTTTTTGTCCTGGCTGTGGGACAGTAGGCACAGTCCTCAAGGGTACATGGGAGTTTGCCCAACCAGTCACCATGTGTTTAGTGGACTTGTAGAAGGCGTTTGTCTCTTGGCAAGTTCTATGGTGGATGCTTTTTGGAATATGTACCAGTCCGCATTGCCGGATTCACTTCCAGTGAGGGTTGGACTGCACCAAAGCTGCCCCTTGTCACCAATTCTGTTCATAACTTTTATAGACAAAATTTCTCGGCGCAGCAGAGGAGATTCGGGGGGCTGGTTTAGTGGGCTAAGTATTGCACCTCTGTTTTTTGCAGATGATGATGCTCTCTCGGCTTCAAGCTGTGATCTTCAGCCGAATGTGAAGCTGGTGAAATAAAAATGAGCGCCTCCAAATCTGAGACCATGGTCCTCAGTCGTAAAAGGATGAAGTGCCCTCTCTAGGTTAGGGTTGAGATTTTGCCCCAAATAGAGGAGTTCAAGTATCTTGGGGTCTTGTTCACAAGTGAGGGCAGGATGGAGCGTAAGATCGATAGACAGTTTGGCGCAGTGTCTGCTGCGATGAGGACTCTGTATCGGTGTGTCGTGGTGAAGAAAGAGCTGAACCAAAGAGCGAAGCTCTCGATTTAGCGGTCGATCTTCGACCCTACCCTTACCTATGGTCACGGGCTATGGGTAGTGACCGAAATAACAAGATCCCGGATACAAGATGCCGAAATGAGCGTCGCCTGCAGGTTGTCTGAGCTTTGCCTTAGAGGTAGGGTGAGACGTTCAGTCATTCGGGAAGGACTTAGAGTCGAGCCACTGCTCCTCCACATTGAGAGGAGCTGGACGAGGTGGTTTGAGCATCTGATTAAGATGCTTCTTGGACGCCTCCCATGTAAGGTGTTTTGGGCATATCCCACCAGCAGGAGTCCCCACGGACAATCCAGGACATGCTGCAAAGATTATGTCTCCTGTCTGGCGTGGTTATGCCTTGGGATCCCTCCGGAAAGTTGGAAGAAATGGCTGGAGTGAGGGAAGTGTGGGGTTCCCTGCTGAAGCTGCTGCTTCCGCGACCGGACCCTGGATAAGCGGTAGATAATGGATGTATGGAGTTTGAAAGTTTTGAAACTGACTTTTGAAAACAGTGGTATACCTTGAAAATGGTTATTGGCCCATTTCAATTTTGGGGTTGATCCTTTTGTTTTCATACAGTACTTGGAGTGAAACTAATTATACACTTTTTATGAAGCATACTTTCATTCTCTGACAGATACTGAAATACGACCACTATGAAATAATGGCATTGCTGGTAGTGTGAAATGATTTAAATGGATGTTTTCTTGTTAAAAATAGTTTTCAGTTGAAAAATAGGATGTGGCGGTTTGAGAAGGAAGACTTGCAGTCAGGACTTACAGTGGGTAGACAGCCTCCTGGGTGCAGTGTAAAGTGTTGATGTAGTCTGGGCTGGGATTATACAGCATGGTGTACCAGTCCGACAGCATCTGAACTCGACAGGAGTTGATACTGAGCATCCCTATTGGCTCTGTGACCAACAGCGTAACCACAGCAGACACGCTGCACTCCAACAAGGCTGTGATGTGCTGTAGCAAAGCACTGGAACTGAAGTCAGAAAATGAAAGACGTTATTAATGGTTTTGCATCCCCAACAACAATCCAGCAGAACCACTGAGATTCAACACAATCTGTTTGGTGATGTTCATTGATGTCCAACTTGTTGGTATTTCAACATTACTATTCCCAAGGAAACAGACGAGACTAGCCTCGATCAAACAAAGATCCCGCAAAATTGGCACATCAAAGACATAACGTGCAAAGACGTAACATGTATCCAGCTATTGCCCTCCGTACAACAGAATAAGTCAAGGTTCACTTCAAAAATATCAGCTTTAAAAGCCATGATTTCACACTGAATAAGTACATTTGTGACTGAACTGAAACAAGATCTTTGTTTCAGTATGCATACTTTGTATTTTTGTTCGGTGCTTTACTGTGAGGTTTTTCTGACATAAAATAGGTGCCTTGGGGTCTGCAAGGATGTCATCATTAGTCTCCTTAATAAATGCTCAAGTACCGTAATTTCCGTACTATAAACCACAACTTTTGTCACACTGTTTCAACTCTGCAGCTTATTTAACTCATTCAGTACTAGCCATTTTCAGAACCGTAGGAAAAAAAAGACTTTCAGTCTTGGAAAAAAAAGCTAGGAAAAAAGAAAACCTAAGTACATGGGATTGAATGTGTGAAGTCTGAAAAGACATATAAATATGTCTTTGGGAGTGAATGAGTTAATGAAGCGGCCTATATAAAGATTTTTCAAATGGCTGCCAGTTAGCGCTCGAGAATAAAAGGAAGAAGAGTGAGAGAAGTTGATAAATACGTATCGAGGAAGACGCTATTATCTGTCACATTGAAAACAACCGGCCATGAGAGGATGCAGCTGTTTTGGGCTGCACTGCAACCACCATGGATTATTATGCCCCCCCCCCCAAAAAATAAATAAATAAACTGCCGAAAGACATTGTCGTGAAAGTTGACACGAAAGCGCAGATGGTAGAAAGCCGAATGAAGAAATGGTTGACCAAGTGTTTCGGCAAGCGAAGATTTTTTTCATTGAAAAAAAAAAAAAAAGCATTATTCGACGGTGAAGTGACTTTTATGTTTTTTTTTTTTGTTTTTTTTTAAACCAGCCCTGTTAGTGCTGTTTTACTGGCGTGGTGCTGCTGCGTTACAGGCACTATTTGGAGAGAAAAGTTCAGGGACGTTATTAAAACTTTGAAAAAGCTTTCTGTGGCCCTTCTTTGTAAATATCTCATGTTACAATGAGGGCACCTGCAGCTGAAAGACAGGTGCGCCTTGTGTGTGTGTATAAAATTGTTTTTTCCTTTAAAAATATTGTGGGTGCATCTTATAATCAGGTCCGGAAATTACGGTAATTAAATAAGTCTTTTATGATGCCCATAGACCTAGACGTCGTAATTCATATCCAATAGGCATAGAGGAGTTATTATGAATTATTGTGTATTATTAGTATCTACCGGTACTTGATGATAATCTTACATGAATGTACGCGCCAAAGAACCAAACGGGACACATGCCGAACAAACCAAAACAGTCTCACTGCACCGTTGAGGTTTTCAAAAAGCAATCCATCCCTCAATGTGACGTTTTATTTCCATTTCCCTTCTACAAACCCAAAGCGAATGAAGTTGGGACGCTGTATTAAACATAGATAACAGAATATAATGATTTGCAAATCGTGTTTAACTTTTTTTTATTGAGTACACTAAAAACACAAGATAAATATCTTCTGTGATTTGTTCCAATAAATGAATTTGAATTCAAAATTCTTTACTGACATCGACACATTGATTTGTTTGAAACATTGGACATGTTATGATACCGGACACATGGGTAATTTTATAATCAGAGCTTTCCTAACATATTCAAGATAAAGGCAAGACCAAATGCTTGTTTAATTTTAATAGAGATCACAAAAAAAACAATCACAAATCAACTAAAAATGAACTTGACCTTACATTACAAAGTATAACAGGAAGCTAAATCATAGTACCGTATTTTCACGACCATTCGGCGCACCGTATTGTTGGGCGCAGTCTCAGTAACGGGTGCTATTTCTGTATTTGACACATACACAAAACGCACTGTATTATTGGGCGCAGCCAGGCATGGTAAAACATACGCCAGCTTAAACATACGGCATGCATGCACGCACGCTAAAAACACGTTAGCTTGAAACATACGGTAGAATGCATGCACGCTAAAACATACCAGGTATGTTAGCTTAAAGCATACGGTAGCAGCTAAGACATACGGACACACGCTAAAAACACGTTTTTAAAAAGGGCAACGGAAGCAAAACTGAGTTCGGTTGAACTTTATTTAGCCATTTTACAATGTACTCACGCGACTGGTACCTGCTAGGGGCGTGCCTTTAGCGTCCTCTTACACGCCTACCCTTCACTCATTGGCGACTGGTACCTGCTAGGGACGTGCCTTTAGCATCCTCTTACATGCCCACCCTTCACTCATTGGCGGACTTCTGCATGCCTGTCGTCACTCACGTCCGCCTTTTCTCTTTATAAACAACATGTCGGCCAGACTTGCTCTCAGTCAGGCTTCGGAACTCGGCGCATACACTAGACGCTCCGCATTATAAGGCGTCCTGTCCATTTTGGAGAAAATTTAAGACTTTTAATGGCGCCTTATAGTCGTGAAAATAGGGTAATTGGTCAGAAATGTAGTTTTTCCAAATTTTTGCACACCCCGAATACCAAGGTGTTTCAAACCAACTAAATCCCTTAAAATAGAGCTGCCTCACCCCTAAGACAAACTCAACAATGGCGTTTATGCGATGCAATGCAGTGAGGAGGGAAACAACCATGACATTGGCAAGTGGCTTCATCAGGTCCAGTATTCAGAGTTAATTGTCATCTCAAGCAGAAGGGAGAATCTTTTGAGGATCGGGAGGACTGCTGGTTTGAAAGGTATCAAAGAAGGCACCAATGGTAACGCTATCTCTAAGTAGAGGAGGTTTAAGGTGTCTGCCAACAATAATGTCCAGACATCCCTTCCCCCAAAGATTATCTCATTCCACGGGAAGGTTGGCTCGAATGAGCTCTTTTGCCACAAGACAAGCGTGTGCCCAATTGTTATGCAGGACAGTCATTTCACTGACCACGTCTGGCAGCAACAACACACCCACACGGAGCATCAACAGGGATACTCCACGTATAAAAATTTCGAACTGAAGAAGGCTTTTAGATGAAAGGTGAAACCTCTTCAACATGAACACGTCCAGTTACCGCAATTTAAAGTTCGAAGATTACCATCACCCAGGAAGACTAAGCGTCTAACTATACATACTGCAGTGCTGTTGTTAGTTGGTTCATAGTTTCAAGTTTTGCATTTGAGCAATTAGGCATTTTAAAATAATCCTCACCTCTTCTTACCAGAATACCACTCAATGAAGAACCAATGAAGCATGAGAGGTAGCATGGCCATGAAGCCGAGATAGAGCCAATCATAAAGTTGAGGAGACTCGGTGCAGCGCTCACACACTTTCTGGTGATTGGCTCGCTCTCCACGAGGGCAAACCTGCAGTTGATCAAAAACCACGATTACGTATGACCTCCACACATTAACACACACACACACACACACACACACACACACACACACACACACACACACACACACACACACACGTATACAGTGAGATGAACAAGTATTTGATACACTGCTGATTTTTGAAGTTTTCCCCACTTACAAATTAGGTCGAGGTCTGTAATTTGTATGAAATGTACTCTTCAACGAAAAGGGACTGAATCTAAAACAAAAATCCAGAAAATCACTGTTGATTTTTAAATAATGAATTTACATTTGATTGTACGAGTATTTGATCGCCCATCAACCAGTAAGAATTTCAGCTCCCACTGATGTGTGAAGCCCTCCTGTCTGTCCTGTGTTAACTTCACCTGTTTGAACTCGTTACCTGTGTAAACGACACATGTCCACACACTCAAAACAAATTCCAACCTCTCCACAAAAGCCAAGTCCAGAGCGCTGTGCAAGGACATCAGGGATAAAACTGTAGACCCGCAAAAGGCTGGGATGGGCTACAGGACAAGAGACAAGCAGCTTGGTGTGAAGGCAACAACTCTTGGTGCAATGATCAGAAAACAGAAGAAATTCAAGACGACGGTCAATCTCCCTCGGTCTGAAGTGCCTTGCAAGATCTCTCTTCATGGGGCATCAATGATCCTGAGGACGTTGAGGGATGAGCCCATCACTACACGGCAGGACCTGGTGAATGACCTGAATAGAGCTGGGAGCACAGTGTCAAGGAAAACCATCAGTAACATACTGCGCCATCATAAATTAAAATCCTGCGGCGCATGAAAGGCAGGGGGGCCTTGCATGTGCCGCATGCAGGATTTTAATTCATGACGGCACTCAAGCCACCGCATGTCAAGGCCCTGAAGCTTGCCAATGACCATCTGGATGATCCAGAGGAGGAATGGAGGCAGGTTATTTGGTCTGATGAGACATAAGTGAAGCTTTTTGGTCAAAATTCCTCTCACCGTGTTTGGAGGAAGAGGAAGGATGAGTACAACCCCAAGAACACCATCCCAACTGTGAAGCATGGAGGTGGAAACATCATTCTTTGGGAATGCTTTTCTCCAAACGGGACGGGACAACTGCACCGTATTGAGGGGAGGATGGATGGGGCCATGTATTGTGAGCTCTTGGTCAACAATCTCCTTCCCTCAGTAAGAGCATTGAAAATGGGTCGTGGCAGGGGGGTTCCAGCATGACAGCGACCCGGAACACACAGCCAGGGCAACGAAGGAGTGGCTCCGGACGAAGCCTCTCAAGGTCCTGGAGTGGCCTAGCCAGTCTCCAGACCTGAATCCAATCGAAAATCTTTGGAGCGAGCTGAAAGTCCGTGTTGCCCAGCGACAGTTATGCAACCTGAACGCTCTGGAGTAGATCTGTATGGAGGAGTGGGCCAAACTCCCTGCTGCAGTGTCGAACAACCTGGTGAAGAACTATAGAAAACATCTGATCTTTGCAGGGATGAGAGTGGCTAGTGATGAAAAAATCTGAAAATCAGCCGGGGGTCTGGAGGCAACGCCCCGGACGGGGGCCCAGGGGGGAAAAGCCCCCGGAAGCTAATGGATTTTAGAGATTTTAAAGCCTTAAAACCATTCATTTTATGAATAAAATGTTAAATTTTTTGTTGAAATACCATTCCCTATTTGCTTAAAAAATTGCCAATTGATATTAAACATACTAAAGATGAAGTGTATTCAATGTACACACGACTTGAAACTTTCACAGAAAAAAAGTTTTTCAGATCCGCTTTTTCAGATAGCTTCGTCACAAGTCTCAATAACATTCAGCATTTTGTTTAATACACACTATATAAACGAGTAATTTCAATACACTACATCCCTTGTGCAAAACCATTCGCAATTCGTGGTAAAGGGGTTTAGGAAGGCGAACACGGATCGGTTGTGATTCTGCATTTGCCGATATAGCGATCAATCACAAAAAGTAAAACATTGGTTTTAGCCTACATGCGAAGAAACGACAAATTAATGCTTCGCGAGAAAAAACGGTATTCAAAATGGATGCTTGCGAACTTTATTTGTAAACATTACGAGTCCAGCGTCTGCCGAAGACAAGTCCGGCAGCCCAGAAATAACACCAGACCTCCCCGCAAAAAAATGTTCTCAACGGATTTGGAACAATATAAAAAAGGTCAATTTTGACTGGAAAAAAAGTGGAATTCTGCCAAAAAGCGGAAAAATCTCATCCCTGTCTTTGTAATTGCAAAGGTTTCTCTAACAAATATTGAGTGCTGTTTGTCTGATGTATCAAATACTTTTGTCCTGCAATAAAATGTTAATTATTTAAAAATCATCTACTATGATTTTTCTGATTTTTGTGTTAGATTCTGTCCCTCATAGTTTTAGAGTACCTTTTGATACAAATTACGGACCTCTACCTGCTTTATAAGTGGGAAAACTTCAAAAATCAGCAGTGTATCAAATACTTGTTCTCCCCACTATATACACACACACACACACACACACACACACACACACACACACACATCGTGTTTCACTGTTAATTCACATACGCTTTTCAGTTCTTCACAAAAAATATTTATATGGTTTATACTTACACCACAGTCTCTTTCCATCGACCCATTGAACATTATTCTGCCACAGTACAGGCCTGGGCATGTTGCACTCATGGCCACAGCTGCTCGGGATAGATGGATGGAAATATTTTACTGATTACGAATACAAAATTCAATATGTTAATCCATGGTACATACATTCGGACAGTTAGTTTGAATCAGTACTATAAAGCATAAATATGCAGCAGTATTTAAGGAAAAAGAGTCGATAAATTGCCCGAATTACAACTGGTTCTGCTAAGCTAAATGTTGTGTGACAACACACAAATACCTACGTTACAATGCAACTGTAAACCGCACATATCTAATAAGGAGAAAATAGATATTTTCTTCTGAAATTTAACTCAAAATGTTTCATTACGACTACTACTATCAATTGTATTCCCATGGTCTGTGGTACTGAGACCAACTGCCAAAGTGCAAATCAGCACGTTCACAAAAACTAGAACCCGTACACATATTCAGTTCTATTCGCTGGCTGCATTGCCTCATAAATAAACAATGACATTGCCGTATGGTAAAATCCATGCATATATGTAATTCGTAGATGTAGTGCTAGTGTTAAGAGACGCTACCATAATGTACACAATTTCATCCAATTTAGCGATCCAGCACATCGATCATTCGAATGTGGGTGACAGTTAACTACTTAGTTTAGATAGACTCGGGTGAAAACGGCATACTTAAGCTTTTGACTGATGTTAAGAAACAACACAAACCTATCATGGCAAACAATTCAACGCCTCCGGTGTTGAGGTAGATGGTATTGAGACCTTCAAAAAGCGGAAACAGTTTTCAGCCACCTTCCGCTGCCACACGAAGTATTTCACGTAGACACCACTTTGAGCCAGCCCTGCAATACGTCAGTCCTTCCGCCATATTAGGTGTGGGAGATAGGCCACAAATTAATGCAAGTAAGTGAACCGATATACATAATGTACAAAGGTAATATCTATCCGTCAACACACACACACGCGCGGGCACAAAAAGGGGTGGTTCAACACTCGCAGAAATAAAATTAAAAACAACTTTTCATTTTTTTTTCAGAATAGATCATTCCAAAATCAATGAAAAACATCTTCAACGATTCTTTATTAAAAACAATAATTAGTATCTGGATCCTTTTCATTTCAAGATTAAGCTCATATTTTGCCGGCGCTGTCCGCTAGCTAGAGATTTACGGCAGCAATACTCGCCATTACGTGATGATGTATGTTTGGAAGATTTGAATCGAATTTATTTAAAAGTCAAATCTCCAAAACGTTTATGGCACATTTCCTTCAACTTTGTTGGATTACTTCATCAGGTCAAGGAGAGATAAAAAGGTACATCCTTTCCAACATTGGAAAAGACAGCACCGTTTCAAAGGAATTCAATTCCACTTTTCCTAATTGACATCATTGCGTAACAATGAGTATTGCTGATATAACGCTCTAGTTTGCACACTTTATACCTGGAAAACATTATTTAGGAAATGCAATGATAAAATAATACATACAGATACTAATTGTTGTTTTGTTAAGGATCACTGATGACGTTGTTCATTGATTTTGGAATTGCCCATTTTCTAATTATGTAAATCGTCGAAAGGGTTCTGTCAGTCGTCATCTGTACCTGTGGGTAAAAAACAAAAAAAGCAAAAAAGGACGTTTCGCTTCTCTCACAGAAGCTTCGTCAGCGGTAGACAACCCTGAAGTCTCCGTGAAGACTCCGGGAAGTTGCTCTGCGCTAAAAAGCTGAGCGTGGCCTGTTTGAGGACTGGGTGGGGATGGTTAGTCACGCCCCTATTGGTTTATTAGAGGCCCATTGGTTTCTAAATTCCCTATCATTGGGTCTTGATTAGGCCTATTGTTTGGGCTAAGGCTGAATAGCTACTTTCAGTTAGCCTGATCAGCATGTCTATGTCCCTTACTGGTCAACAAGTTATTGTAAATAGGAGACAGGTTAAATCTGATTATGTAAAGGTGTTTATAAATTTGCCTTTGGAGCAGAGTGGGAGCAATCGTATTAGTTTAGCAAAAACTGTCATGGTTGATCTGTTTGGGACCAACATGTGGCTCTGCCAGGTCCTCCTACAACGGCACACTTCTTGGTCATCGTGTCATGAGTAGGTTCTTTGTTAAAAGGACTCCCGGCCCGACCACTCAGTCTTGGGTCATTGCTTTTTGTTGCTGTCACTGCTTTTGTTGGTTAGTGTTTGTGTCTTATTGCCATGGATTTTTTTTGGATTGCTTTCACCTTGTTTTTACGTCTGCCATAGGTTTTTGTTTGTTACTTTGGATTCTTGTTTTCAAGACTTTGTTTGTTCTGGATTTAGTTTTCTCAGTGTTTTGTTCATACAGTTTGTCAGGTGTATGGCAAAACGAGGCCTTCTGAAGCTCTGAGCCTTTTTTGAACCACTGTGTCATAAAATGGTTCACTACCCGAAGCTGCATTCAGTACCCTTGGGTGACCTCTAGTGTCAGTAGGGATAATTGTGCTTTCGGATTCATCCAAAAGAACCACTAAAAATGTGACATGCTTCTTGTGTATAATAAAACTCAACATAGCAATTTTTAATGTGGAAACTTGTCAAGCGACATGGCAGTGGTGTTTTATGAATTTGTAATTTGTACCCCAACGTATAAATTATAGCCTTGAAGCAACAATATATATCAAATGTGGGGAAAAAAAAGACTTGAAATTTTGTTTGTCATTCATCTTTTTGGGATTGTGCTTGGTGTACTCAATGTTTATACTTGACATTGTGCTTCGTTTACTGAATGCTTGTGTAACTCATTCTTATTGAGGAATAGCAATTTTTGCACGGTAGAAGGGCCTGTAAACAAAATGACAACACGTTACTCATGGCCGACTTCATTTTACCTTGTATGTATTTGCCATCCCGTCAGTGTCACGTTGCGAGGTGGTGGTGGACCCCAAAAAGCAGGCAGGAGGGAGGAGCAGGGTCAACTTGAAGAAGTGTATTGAAACAGAGAAAACTAAATCCAAAACAAACATAGTCCAAAGTAGCAAACAAAAATCACAACTTTAGCTAAAACAGAACCGTGACCAACATGACCGAAACAAACCTGACAGCAGCAGACAAACAGCAACAAACAAACATGACAGTAGCAAAGAGCAATAATGACCCAATGCTGAGTGATCGGGCTCGGAGTCCTTTTAAAACACTAATTACCTAATGACCAACAGGTGTGCAGCTGCAGGGGAAGCCCTACAGTGTCACCTGTTGGTCCCAAACCGAATCATGACAGTCAGTAAGAACGGCTCCTCTTGAATATTATACTATACAATACTGCTGAATAGTACTGCTTGAATGACATCACCACTGTCGGCACGATCTCTCACAAATCTTACTTGTCCTAATAATTTAGCAATGTGGGAATTTGGTGTCAGTAGAGCTTCAAACATGATGCATGATATCACCACTAATCCTAACTTTGCAAACATGTTGCATTAAAGCAGGGGTGCCCATTACGACGATCCTGATCTACCGGTAGATCTAGGACTCGTCCCAATAAGATCTGAAAGGTGGAGAGGAGAAAAAAAAAAAAAAAA